TAAATAATAACCTTGGGACCATTTAATCTTTTCAAGATGTATTTTATTTATTTGAAAATTCAGAACTACACACACGCACACACACAGATAGCTTCTATCCAATGGTTCACTCCCCAAATAGCCATAAAAGCCAGGGATGAAGCCAGGAGCCAGGAAATCCATCTGGGTCTTCCACATGGGTGGTAGATGCCCAAATACCTGAACCATTTCCCACTGCTTTTCCAGGTGCGTTAGCAGGCAGCATATTAGTGTGCTGTGCCACAATACTGGCCCCTTAATCTTGAATGACCTATTTCATTCTGAATCCATTTACATTCTTTGTCAGTTTGCTTTTTCTGGATAGCACGTACTTTTAAAGTCACATGTAAAAAAAACTGACTCATTTTGTCACAGTTGTAACCATTTCCCCACTCTTGGACATCTGGGGGAGTTAGTTGGTTTACTGTATTACATGTGGTATTGTTGTGAGCCACCACCGCATGCTTTTTTGTCAGAAAGAAAGGCCTGCTTCCTTTAAGTGAATTCCTGACAATGGAATTATATCAGGTCACATGTTTTAACTATTAATACCATATTCTCTGTAAGTCCTCCTTTTTCTTTCAGTAGCTCCCACCAGTTTTGGTATGTGTCTTTAAAATTTACCTTTGCTAGCGTTGACAGATGTGAAACAGCAGCCCCTTTTTTAAATTTCAGTTTTGCGAGGGTCTGCTGCCAGTTGGTTTTGCCTGTGAGGCTTGGGGCTCTAACTCTGTCCTGGTGCTGCCCAGGAACTCTGGGCACTGGCCCATGTCCGTGTGATTTCTTGATGTTTGATAGAAGGAGCTTATCCAAAACCTTCTCCACTGATGGGCGTCTGGGTTGGTTCTCTGTCTTAGCTACTGTGAATTGATCTGCTATCAGCAATGGAGCTACAGATGTCATATGTTTCCCCTGATGTGTGATAACACAGAGAGTGCCAAAAAATGGAACTTATGGGTGAGATTGACATCCAGGGATTTGATTATAGTTTACAGACATTGTCTGTACTCCTAAGGAATAGTTTTGGATTTTTTTTTCCTTTACTTGCTATATGTTAATTTCTTCACCTAATGGAGGGTTAAGCCTGTGACTGTGAAGTGAAATAAAAATGAGCCATTGTAAAATGAGGGAAAAAAGAAAGAAGGAAGGAAGGAGGAGGGAGGGGGTGGGGAAGGCTGCCAGGAAGGAAGGGTGCTGCTGTGTTGCTGATTCTACATCATGGAATTTGTTCACTTTATACATGCATACATACATAAACACGGGGAGGGAAAGCCCCACGTTCCAGTTCAGGCACTGCCACCCTGTTCCATGACCATTGGCAAATTTCTGACCCCTCTTAGCCTTAGTCTCCTCTTTGATTGAGACCATCAGTGCAGCATCCAGTATGCATTTAGAATGCTCTTGAATGTCGCTTGCTATGGGGTTTTTTTTTTTTCTGTTCTGGGTTACTTTGGGTCTATTTTTCTATGTGATATACTCAGAGAATGATGGTGAGGTACACATATATACCATTCTCCAATCACATGATGAACTGGACTCAGAGTAATGTGGGCTGGCAGTGAGGTGGCTCAACAGGCTGATTCTCTACCTTCATCACTAGCATTCAATATAGGTGCCAGTTCATGTCCCAGAAGTGTTACTTCCCATCTAGCTCCCTGCTTAGGGCCTGAGAAAGCAGCAGAAGATGGCTCAAGTCCTTGGGCCCCTGCACCCACGTAGGAAACCTGGAGGAAGCTCCTAGCTCTGGGTCAGTTCAGCTCTGGCCTTTGGGGTCATTTTGGGAGTAAACCAGTGCTTGGAAGATGCCCCTCTCTTTGTCTTCCCTCTCTCTGTAAATCTGCCTTTCCGATAAAAATAAATCATAAAATGATAATAATACTGAGACTTTCTGCTAAACGATCCCCACTCTTGGAGGCCTTTGCCACTCCCTCTCATTACTCCACTCCTGGCAGCCCCTGTAAATTTCCCTGGGGCATTCATCACGTAGCAGTGTGGTCCCTGGCATGTCCGTTTCCTCTGCAAACATTGGACCCCTTCACATCAGTCACTGGACCTTGAGCTTGCCTGGGGTCTCAGTGGTCACTTGCTGAACCCAAGAGTACACTCGATTTTGGAGCTCACATTGGTGTGGCCTTTGGGGACAGATAGCTTCTGCAGTTTTCCTAGGTAGCAAACAGATCAGGATCCTCTCTTTATATTTGTGTTGAGATAGATGGGGGGGGGGGCGGGGGGAGTGGTTTCCCTTATGTTCTTCACCCTGGAACAGTGAGTGGAACCAACAGATGTTCCGGAGATTGTCAGCTGTTCTGCTCTGGGGGTCAGTCTTTGTCTGTAGCCAATGAATTCTCGATGTGTGTGAAACTTCTTAAGGCCTTCCACTTTGATGCTGTGTTTCCATGGCTGGCAACTCACTCAGGTTTGAGACCTTCCAGCAGACAGTTAAGAATTGTGGCCCTCAGGCTGAATAGTCGGCTGTGGATCATTCCAGATTCTCTAGCAAACTGATCTATCTGTCCACCAAAAGCTGTGGCCATCTCAGCAAGGACTTACAGCACTGCCAGGCTGTGGCCAGGGACAGGTGCCAGGGCAGGCAGGGACTTAGCATCTGTGATGATAATCTGAGGTAGGCAGATCTGTATGATATTCCAATCAGGAGAGAGTTTTCAGAGGAAAACAGAGAAGGCCAGTCTTACATTCCAGCCAAGGAAGGGATCCCAGGACAGAATGTGGAAGCCTGACAATATAGAGGGCTAGGGAAGGGTGGCACAGCTCTGGGGTGCAGCCTGGGGGTGCAGAGAACTTCCCCTTGTTACTGCTCTAAGCCGCCATGAAGCATGGTGCATTGGTTGCTTTACAAATGTTGACTCTGGGACAGGGAGGGAATCCGTTCTACTCAGACAGCTGCCCACTTATTACTGATGTTTGGATGGAACAACTCCCAGGTCTCAGTCCAGTCCCAGGAGGCTCTTCCTTGGGTCTGTCTTTATATCTTTGAGAACATTTCCACTTCTAACTTGAACTGTGATATCCTGAGCTCTTTTCCTAGTTGCTGTCAGAACTCTTGTCTGTATCCAGCAGACAAGCCAAGGACACCAAATGAGCTTTTGCCATCGCTTGGTGTTGGCAGGAATTTGTTTTTAGAATTCAAATTGAGCTCATTTGGTGCAGAGCCATAGAAAATGGCTATATCAGGCAACTAACAACTTTCATAGAAAATTACGAGCATATCAGTGCGTAGCTTGGTATTTAAAAAGACTGTATTTAGATGGGTCCTCTAGGGAAGATGTGTTCTGGCTTAGAGAAGCAGTTACCAGTTTGGGGAAATTACAGGGGTGGAGAATTGGGTGTTTTGATTTTTTTTTTCCGCCAAGGGCCATTCAGATATTTATAACATCATTTGTGGGCCACACAAAATTATCAACTTAAAATTTAGCCACCCAGAAATTTGTTGACTTTGGAGTTTCACCCGCGGTTGCCTTGGCAAGGCCAGACCCAGTGGTTTCTCAGGCCTCCTGTGGTCCACCAGCCAGATGTTCCCCCACTGCTATTAGAGGCTGGTGGCACAGCATGAAGGGTCCCAGAGCTGGGTTCCCAGGTTCACATCCTAAGGCTGCTGTTTGTTAACTCCTGACTCTAGCTCCATAGCAGAATCTCCCTGTATGATGAGAGTCCTTTTGGGGTACTATGATAGTGAAATTAGATGGGCCTACCATTATGAGCTCTGCCAAGGTGAGGCGAAGCAATCTATACCACGTGCCAGCAGATGCTTCAGTGTCCCTAGAATTTCAAAGCATTTGTGGAAGTGATGGCTGCCCTTGAGTTGAAGTATGAGGTTCAAGGGTTGTCTGTCCCCCATCAGTCTCTGACTTAGGTCTTTGTTATGGTTTGTTTCCTGCAGAGCAGGGCAGCTTAAGCAGCCACATGACTATCATCCAGCTGTTGATGAAGGACTCCAAGTGAGAGTGCAGGTGCTGGCCATGAGAACAGAGGAGGGACAGAGTGCAGGTGCAGGGGTGCAGACAGCAGGAGGCAAGTCAAGAATGGGAGTCAACATTGCTTTCAGGGATTGAAAGATCTAGTACAGGGGTGGGCATTGATTGGCCTTCCCACTGAAACATTTGGTTTTGTCTGGCCAAGGCAATTGTAGACAGGACTCCAAATTCAGTTAATGTTTCAGTTGATAATTTTACATAGCCTGCTGCAAATGATGTTATAAATATCCAAATGTGCCTTGGCAGAAAAAAAAAAAAGAAAAAAAAGATTCTCCTGCACTGATAGTCGGAGAGATTATATCCAGGGTGTGGAAACTATCCCATTAGCCCTAGTATTGTAATGTGTGTTTTTCAATGGGGTAGTGCTGTGGTGCCTTGAATTGGCACCCATGCCCATCCAGGCAGTCCTCTCTGCTAGGAGGCAGCAGAGCTGGGCCCAGGGTGTGTGCCTCAGTACCTGCCCCCACCTGCTGCATCTCCAGCTTGCATGTGCAGAGGTTCGTGGAGAGGCTGCTGTGGTCTGCCTAAAGTCTCATGGGTCCCATCCTAATGAGTTCGTCCTTGGCAGCTCTCACTTCATCATGCTCAGGGGAGCCTGGCTTAGTATGCGCTGTGCAGATAAGAGATCTGTGGGAGTCAGTTTCTACAAAGAAAAGGCAGATGAGCCAAGTAGCAGTGACAGATGCCGCCTTTGTCTGGGACACAGCCTTCCTGCCAGAACCCACCTGTCATTCTGTCATTCTCCCTGGTGATACAGATGGGATGGACGGAAGTGGGAGCCAACTACCTCTGCCATCCTTGTGTGCACCCTTGCTCTGACTCCATGATCCATAAACCCTGGGCTTCCTGGCTCCCTGCCTTTCCTCCCTTCTCCTCTTCCCCATCATGCTTCCCCCTTGCCTTACCCATCTCCAAACAAGGCTTTCCTCTGTGAAGTGGTTCCCGCTGTTAAGGGCCAAACTTAATACGCTCTTCTCCCTCCTTCTGCAGGGGAGTTGCTGAGCCAGCCCAGACCAGAAGGAGTGGCCGAGATCATCTGCCCCAAGAACGGCAGCGAGCGAGTGAATGTTGCCTTGGTTTACCCACCGACGCCAACCGTGATCAGCCCCTGTTCCAAGTGAGTTCTGGATGCCTGAGCCACACCCTGCCTCATGCTCCTGATCCCGCTCTAGAAATATGAGGACTGAAAGTCGAACTGAGCTGTGCCTGCCTACACCTTGACACGGCCATCAGGGCAGACATGGCACACGTATGGGTCTTCCGGTTGATACCCCTCACCACCCCGAACTTGACAGTTTCTCTTTCATGGTTTTTGGTTTAGTTTTGGTTTTACTTTTGCTGATACAGTCAGCATGTCTTTGACACATCATTCACATACTCCTCCCCACCCCCCCGGTTAAATCCAGAACAATCTACAGTACCTTGGTCTTGAGTATTTTGTAGGTGCATGATGGGTACGCTTAACTGTGTTTGTGGAAGAGTCAGTGGGGCCTGGCTTCCTAGGACAGCTGGGATCATCAACTAAGAAAAGGCCTGAGCAAATCTGTAATTGATGAGTATGGGGTTTTGTTAGTTTGGGGAGGAATTAGGCTTTTGTGGGTTTTGTTGTTTTTAGGTTTTGGTGTATTCCATGATTTTTTGTTTCAGTATGGGACTCTGATTCTCTCATCAGTTCCTGACAGTCATGAACTGTGCAGTTTGCCACCACCTCCCCTCAAAACGTGCTTAAAAACAGAGAACTAATATCCATCAAGTAACTTCCAGGTAGTGATCACTTGGTACTTGATATAAACTCATACCAGATTTTTGGGGTTCATTTTGTTTCCAAAAGTATTGAGAAACAGCAAGCTCTTCATCATTTGAATGGAAATGCCTTTTTTAACCCAAAATATTGAAAATAAAGCCATGGACCTGTTTGGATCAAATTTTGTTATCTGTGAATTATCTGCATCATGGTGAACCCAGCCCATCATGTGCATAACGCAGCTAACTTGGGCTTTCCTTTTCTTGTTGGCCTCCTAGGATTACGTTTTTCTACATAAGTATTTCAGAAGTGGGAGAATGGGATACGAGTATGCATTTGAGAACCGTGACCTTGGGAAATTCTCATGATGCCCTGAGACAGGGGCTCCCTGCAGCCCGTGGGGTGCCTTCTGGGGAGCTGTCACTCCTTAGCAGTGTGAACCTCCTTCTCTACAACCTGGGTGGCTCATCAAGCAGAGCCTCCCCATCCATCTGTGCTGAGGAAGATCACAGAACACCCAGGAGAAGCTCTTATCTCATGCACAGACTTCCACAATGCTAATATAGCTCCCATGCACAGTCTCATTCATCTCTAGTAGGACTCTAAGCCACAGGAAAATATTACAACAGGAGTACACTGTAACATCATGTGAACCAGACCTTTCCCTTTCCTGGATATATTAATTAGGAGATGTTTCATCTTTATTAATATTTTTAAATTTCTGTACACTGGTCCCTTTCTTTCAGATACACCATAGACCCTGCTGGGTAGTAGGGGATAGCAAGAAGCAGTTATTCATCATGCTGAGCTGGAAAAGACTTTAATCTTTTGTTTAGCCATAGATCCATGCCATTTGACTGGCAAGGTAGGAGTTAGATGGCCGAGCCGGCTCTGTGTGGAAATGTTACACAGCCTCTCCTTCTTGGCACTTTATTGAACATAAATGAACAGGCAGCCTGCAAGCCATGAGCAATCAGGAGCTGCCAGCCTCAGCCACCTGGGTGCTGGAAGAAGCCCTGGGAGGAGACTGAGCCACTTGTGACCCAGCCATCTGAGTTGTTTGATTTGGAAATGGATCATGAAAGAATCTCATGAAGGGGACAGCAGCTTTGCAATGCAATTCTCACTTCTGAATGAAAGAATCTCCTCTAAATAGGAAAATTTCCTGTTCCTAGCCAGACTTTTCTTACAAAATGGTTTTTTTTTCTTTTTTAAACTATGAAGGCCAGGAGGAAATGATCTCGTGTCTGACCATTTCTACAAAAACACAATTAGATTCAAATCCTATACTTGGACATTCTAGTCTTACACCCCACCCCCAGCACCCACCACCCACCACCCCAAACCCAAAACCCAAAGGGACTCGCCTGAAGGCAGGCACAGCCCAGTGGAAGGGCTCTTTCACAAGGGGATGCCAATGAGTTGGAAGCTGGAGGCTCTAGGAGTCGGGTGGCGCACCTCAGGTTAGCTGTCAGCGCAGGTGGTGGATGGGCCTCCTCAGCTTGGGGAGCCTGAGGTCTGGAGTTCCAGCAGGCACTGAATAACCCCAGTTAACTTAGGCAGGTCACCACAGAGTGAGCTTTGACTTCCTCTACCTTGTGGTTAAAGTGCACATGGATGGACAAGATCGGGCATCATTAATTAGGCATGCGCATTAGACTTCCCAGAGGAACAGATGAGGCTCGAGCCACTGTAAAGCTGAACAGGCATTCAGGAGATTCCAGGAGAGGTGTGTGTGTGTGTGTGTGTGTGTGTGTGTGTGTGTGTGCGCGCGCGCGCGCTGGACTTTCCCAGCTGTCAGAGCCCTTCGTGCCTGCGACAATGAGCACCCCGGCCCTGGGGCCCTGTCCTCAGGTCTGGAACAGTAGTCAGCACTGATGTGATGGTCCATGGCATGTGGCTCTCAGCTTCAGCACTTGACCTGCCACTCACAGGTGGACACACCACTTACTGTTGGAGTCAGGAGAGGGTTGAAAGGAATGGGAAGAATATTCCAGGCAGGCATTGATAATAATTACTGAGCCCTTGGGCCACTGACCCAGGGGGGCTTCTAACAGACATCCCCCACTTTTCTTCAATGAATTGGTTCAGTTCTCCTTTGTAGTTCTGCTCAGCCTTATTGCTTACCTGTCTAGCTTGGCCCACTGTGCTGTGTTTGGTTTCTACAAAGGAAGCCTTCTGCAGTGAGAGTTTGACTCTTCCCATGAGTTCCAAATTTATAAAAGCTTCCCAGGCATGTTAATCACCCACAAGGAAATAAAAAGTAAGTGGTGATTCTTGTTGAATGTGCTTTCCTTGTACAACTTGTCCTGGTGCCGGGGAGGGGGGTGGTTGCAGGCTCCAGCAGCAGGTCGCAGAGATGGGATGCAGAGCCTGCACTCCTACCCAGAGGCCGGGGGAGGGGGGTGGCGGCGGGGTGGTCCTGGCCTGTGCTGATGAGGATGCAGAGCCTCCACTAGTACCCGGAGGCCCAGGGAGTGTGTGGGGGGTGGGGGGGGGGGACGCTCCTAGCCTCTGCTAAGGGGGGCAGGTGGCATGTCCAACATTGAAGAAGAGCTTGTTGGGATGGAGACGGTTGTGTTGGCCTTTATCTTGGAGGTTCACTGTGCAAGATCAGGCAGTGCCCTGGGTCCATGGAGGCTGCTAGGGGCCAAGCAGGTGTGGAGGGACGCTCCCGTGCAAGGCAGGAGGTAGAGACACAGGAGTCAAGGTTGGCTTCTGGCTTCTCTAATGAACTGTCCGGTCACAGCAACCTTCTGAAGGCAAGTCCTGAGGCCCCAGGGACCTCCCTGCAGGGGCCCTAGAGATCAAATCTCCACTTCAATCCATCAGCCTTTTTCATGAACCTAAAACTGTCAATGGAAGTCTCTAGGGCTGCAGTATCTTCAGTTTGGGGAGCCAGGTTATACCCAGTCCCTAGCAGATAGCAGGATGAGTAATTTCCACACCAGCTGTGGGCTGATCACCAAGCATACCAGCTCTTGTGAGGTGATAAGGTGAGCATTCATCCAATAGCAAATTTCCTGGGATTGTTATGGAAGATTCTGGTTTCCTTGAGAATACAGATTGTTTCAGGAATGTTTTCTCAAGCTTACGGGTGAACAGTTTATATACCACAGAACTTCACTCATTCAGTCAGCATTAATGTATTTAGAGTTGTGAAATCCAGCACCCATTTTTCCAGCACCCTAGAAAGAAAACCTGGGCCTAGTTAGCGTTTCTGAGTCTAGTATCACACCTACTTCAACAAAGTTAGTGAACACTTTCAGTGTTGCTTTCAGAAATGACACTGCTGCCTGCTGTGTTCTCCTAAAGATGGGAAACTCTGGCTCTGATTTGGCCTGAAGGCGGCATGCTGGCTTGCTCCCTCCAGATGCTGGGGGAGGGGAGGAGGGACAGCACACAGAGCCTCCCTGAAGTCTCCCAAATTCACTGAGCTTTGGAGCTTAAGGGCCCCAGGAGATCAAGCATACCCTTTCCAGTGGGAGAGCTAAGGAGATGGTAGGAAGTTTGTGAATTCTGTCTCTGCTCACTTGCTCTGGGGGAGACTGTTTTCAGCTCACAGGGAGCCTGAGCTTATTTGGTCAGGTGGCAGCTTGCCAGCAGCATTTCATTTTTCCATGCCCCACAGAGTGTTCCTCTTCCCAAAGAGGTTCAACCCAAGCCTGTTTCCCCTGCCTCTAATTAGACTCTGTTCAGGGATATACTGGCAGATAACCCCACACCTGCCACCCACGTTCCAATCTGCAGTTTCTTCATGGACTTACCCTGGCCCCCTCAGGAAATGGTCTCTGCTCATGACACCTCGGTGGTGGTGCTGCTGGGACCCGGTCCATCTGTGTTGTCTCCTCTTGGGAGCGCTGGGAGCTCCTGGGGGCTGAGGAAGGAAATAACTTCTAACAGGGCAGATGTGGGCTTGTTTAAGAAATCGTTGGGCTCAATTTCTCCCTCTTTCAGCCACACTAGAGGGCAAGGCAGTGGCGCCACATTGCTGAAATGCCTTTTGGAAACGTGCATTTTTGCCTACATGCTGTGGATGTCCCATTCAAACCAACCGCTCCCCACCGCACTCTTAGGACTGCTGTGAATGAGCATGCGCAGAACCCCCAGGCTTGATTCACCCTGGGGTTCTGCCAGTTACGCAGTTAGGATGTCAGAAGGGTGTGTGAGGGTGGTGGGGAAAGGGCCTTCTGTGAAGATTTCGGGTCCTTTCTCACTGGACACAGGCAACGGGGTGGCTAAGTGCACACCAGTCAGCTCGTGTACACCTGATCTTTTTACTTTGTTTTTTAAACGAGATCCTGCAGCAAGAGAGATCTGGCTTCTTCAAATGACTCAGTCATGGGAGGTGGGAAGAGGCAGGAATTTCAGGA